TATTATTTCTGGAGGGTGGTAGGGGTGTATCGTGTGTTCTGCTGTTGGGTGGGAGTTTTTTGTTTAGTTGGACGTCGTTGTTTGCTTGGTAGTTTGGTGGGGTTTTTTGGGGTGGGTTTTTCCTCCTTTCCTTTTCCCGGGGAGGGCGACTGTGCTTTTCCCCCGCTCGGGGGCTGACTGCTGGGAAGCTCCTTGCTTGCCACGGCCGGGCAGCCCTCGGGAGCGGAGCGGTGCCCCGGCAAGCCGTGTGGCAGGGCTACCGCCGCTCCTCGCTCCTTGCCATTGCGCCGACACAGCGCGGGGGGGCGGGGGGGGCGGACGACGAGCCGCCTCCCTTAGACCTGACGCATAGAGCTAGCCATACATATACATATTTCAAGCCTGAAAATGTGATTTCTCCCAACGGCCCGCGGTCCGCCGGCGAGCGGGCGGGGTGCGGCGGCGCCGGGGCCGAGCGGGCGGCGGCCGGGGGCGCTGGCGGCGCTGAGGGCGCTGGCGGGCCCCGGCCCGTCCATGGCCGGGCGCCGTCGGGCCCCGGCCGGCACCACCTGTGAGGCGGGCGGGGATTGGCGGGCGGCGTCACATGACCGGTCACGTGCTCCGGGCAGCTCAGTCCAAAAGAAAATGGGGTTTGGTGTAAATCTGGGGGTGTAATGTTATCATATATCACGCTACCTCGTAAAACCGACACTGAAGCCTGCCGGACAACAAATCACAGGTCAAAATTATGAGCTCTTCGTATTATGTGAATGCGCTTTTTAGCAAATATACGGCGGGGGCTTCTCTTTTCCAAAATGCGGAGCCTACTTCTTGCTCCTTTGCAAGCAACTCCCAGAGAAGCGGCTATGGACCAGGCGCGGGTGCCTTCGCCTCCTCCATGCCCGGCTTGTACAATGTGAACAGTACCATATATCAAAGCCCGTTCTCTTCCGGATACAGCCTGGGCTCTGATGCCTACAACCTGCATTGTTCCTCTTTTGATCAGAACATTCCCGTCCTCTGCAATGAGCTAACCAAACCCAGCTGTGAGAAAGCGGAGGAAAGCAACCTGCACAACCAGGCTGAGCCTAATTTCCGGATATACCCCTGGATGAGGTCTTCAGGTAGGGGCGAGCGGAGAGGGCTCGGAGCCGTGGCAGCCAGGCAAAGCGTGTCGCCAGGATTACTGTCAGCACAGCCTTTATGGTTTTAATTATAGCCGAGGCGCCATTGCGTAGAAAGCCCGTGGCATTGTATGTAAATGAGTATCATAAAACTTTTTATTGCCCAATTAATGGGTTCTAGCCTCGTAAATTTATTTAACTCCATTTGCTATGGAATTTTAGCATTGAGTTGATTTGCGCTGTTTGCTATGAAAAAGCGGAGCGTTGGCTGCGGGCTCCCAGAGCCCCCACGGATAAGCGTCTCCCCTGCCCTCTTGTCGAAGTTGGGGAAAAAAAAAAATCCCGCTCGCTGGGCGAGGCGGAGGGGACAGAGGCGTTTAGGAGCGAGGGACGGCGTGTTGTGGACTTTGCCAGCTCGCGTTGCCGAGACGTGCCACTCTCGTCCCCCCTGCCCTTTCCACGGAGATAAGAATCTATAGAAATGTACTAAACAGGAAAACGGAGGGGGGAGGGGGGGACTGGGGCACGAGAGTGTGTGTGAAAAAGGAGAGCTCTCTTCTGGAGCTAAATGCTATGTATTGTTTACGATCCAGGCGGGATGGGTGGGGGGAGCCCACGACATTAAAATAAAATAAATACGGCCCAGCCTTCCAGCTTTTTATTTCCCCTTGCGAAACGTGAAAGTCTGGAAGGTTTTAGGGAAATACATCGCCTGGGGGAAAAGTTCCTCCTCCCAAAAGCAATTTCCTCCCCCACCTCCTCTCCTGAAGGCTTTCTCTTCACTTTTCCTAGGTCTCGAGCAACTTAATTTTTGCCCTGCCTGAGCAGGGCAGGTCGTGTGGCTGAAATGTCTTTGTTAGGGCAAAGTGGGGGGTAGGGTGGAAGTCGAAGAAGGGGATCGTTCACTCTGGCTCGGCCACTTTTTTGTTTGTATATTTATTTATTTATTTATTTATTTAAAACATCAATAAGAAAAATAAGCCGAGAAAACTTTCCACTTCTCTTCTTGTCTTACTCATGGCCGTGTGTATGCCTGTTTTCAGGTCCAGATAGGAAGCGAGGGCGCCAGACCTACACCCGCTACCAGACTCTGGAGCTGGAGAAGGAATTCCACTTCAATCGTTATCTGACTCGGCGGCGAAGGATAGAGATCGCCCATGCCCTCTGCCTGACGGAGAGGCAGATCAAAATCTGGTTCCAAAACCGGAGGATGAAGTGGAAGAAGGAGCACAAGGAGGAGAGCTCCAGCACCCCGGCTCCCAACGAGCCCACGTCAGCAGCAGCCTCTGTCGAGAAAGTGGAAGAAGACGAAGAGGAGGAGGACTAAGGAGTCCCACTCGAGGAAGTGATCTCTTAGAATAGTGTGTGCACATGACAGTTGGAAAAGCTCCCTTTAAAGGAGAAAAGGAAAAAAAAAAAGAGAGACTTTTTATTAAAAATTAAATTAGTTCCCTTTAGTAATCATCTTGAAAGCAAGCGTTTGCAAACATACAAACATTTCTGGGGTTGGTTTTCCAGCCTTCTCTCCACTCTTCCATATTCCCCAAACCTGCCCTATGCCGAACCTTTCGGTAATATCTCCTAAGAATATCTTACAATCAGCATTTTTTTTTTTTAATCTTCATTAACTCAAACCTGGGTGGGTTTCTTCAGGGGACATTTCAGTGGGAGAACTGCTGCTTGCACAGATAGTAAACCGTGACCTTCCGAAGTAACTACCTGACTCCATAGTCCCAATCATGTGTAAGGGGGAAAGTGCATTAGGCTCACATTAAGAAAAACTACCTAATTTTGAATAAGTAGCTCTGCACTTCTCTTTTTGTTTTCTTTTTTTTAAATTGTTGTTAGAAAAGTATCAGAAGTAACAGCTACACTAACAAAAGATTAAACAGCAAATAAGGGGGGGGAAATGTTCCACAAACCACTACAATCTACAGCAATTATTTGTACTACCTATTTTCCAGACTACCTACCTATATATCTTGCTCTGCCTACCTATCTTCGAAAGTATACTGTATTTTAGTAGTCAAAAGGATGTTACAAGATTACTAATGTGAATCGCAAAATGCTTTTAGACATGTAAGTGTAGTCATTCGTAAAGCACGCATCAATAGCTTTGGTATAGAATTTGGTACTGAAAAGTCTGAATATATTTAAATTTAAAATAATATATTTATTCCAAAGCAATTATAAATGAAAACCATATGCTGCAATATATCTTTGTTCTCGATTCTTTGCTATTCTGAGAGAGGAAGCAAACACACGCCAATATTGTAGAAAGCGGTTTAATATCTCCCTTTGGCTTCTACCTTCAGCTGCTTCTGCTAAAGGCCGTTTTCTTATTCTACGTTGATCTTACTTAATATAGCGGAAAGTGTTCTTTGAAAAGTGAATTTAAATGATCATGTAACCACCTTAAAAAAAAAAAAATCACAAACTGTTTGTCCTGATTATCTGAACGTGTTAATATGTAATACCATGAATTTTCCTACAATAGAAGATATTGTAATTTTTTTGTCATTTATATTCGTCTTGAACCTCATTTGTAAGATCATGTCATAAATTGAGAAGTATGTAATTAATTTGGAAACTTTGTAGCATGATGTATTGTTAAGAACTCTGTATAAATCCGTCTTGAAGGTTTGGCTAAAATTTATTCACAAATTGTATGTTACAATGTGTTTCGGTGTGTTCGTTGTGAACATTTGGATATGCCGTGTAAGTATTGGAAGTGGGAAAAAAAATGTCTGTGAACTCTCTTTGGAAGTGATGCCGTGTTCAACTATCTCCCACGATAAATGTGTTTTATGTTACACAGAAAATAAATATGCTTGTTGGCAATGAATTGTGTTTCTTTATTAAGGAACCAGTTCGAAGGAAGTAACAAAAATATATTACATAGACTAATAAAGAAATTAGAGCATCTAAACAATTTTTTTTCCCGGTAATCAGAAAGGGAAAAAAAAAAAAAAAAAAAAAAAAAAAAAAAAAAAAAAAAAAAAAAAAAAAAAAAAAAAAAAAAAAAAAAAAAAAAGAAAAGAAAACCAAAAAGAAATCAAGGTGATGAATTGATAGGAATCAGTCAATATCTCTATCTCGACTTCATGATTTTTTTCCCTAGCGTTGTTGATTAATAAAGCGGAAAGCCTTCTTTATGGGAGAGCTTCCTTCCACCGTGTTCCCGTGTCCTCTTGCAGTCATAACCCCAGTCCAGACGATCGGCGATCAAGTCGAAATCGCATGCAGCGAAAGAATATTTTCTAATGAACAGAAAGTGAAAGACGAAACTTCCAAGTGTAAATGATCTGATCGGGTGCATGTGTGGTTTGTGTGTGCGGCTTTCGGGGGCCAGGGGGCATCACGGTAGCACGAAAATGGGGGAAAACTGCCCCGCTTTAGAAAACGTCTTATTTTTGCCAGGTACCACATAATGTCAATGAGATCTAATATTGCCCCATTTTATTTTTTTCTAATTAAAAGGGAAAAAAAAATCGAACCTGAAAAGTCCTTTTATTCGGCCGGATAAATAGAGGTAAGACCTGGAGCATTACTTGCGCTGAAGTTCCCTTTTTTCTACTACGCTCCGTTCCTAGTCAACGCACTAATTGTAATTTTAATAAAATTAGCACAAAGTCCAGGTCTTTTAAAAAACTCCAGGGCTGCCTCTGTGGTAAGATGGCGCCTCTCTAAGACCTGCCTCTTCTTAGTGATGAGGAAAAGGCCATAAATCCGTTGTTGTTTATGAAAATTTACAACTTTGCAATACAACTTTATGAGTTGTTCGGTTTTTCCATTGGTCGTTGTCGGTCATGTGGATGGTAACCGTGAACATGAACTTTTTTATAATTTCCCTTGCGAGAATAGAGCCGCATTCTTTTGCTGAGCTCTGTCCTGCTTCGGATCTCTCTGGCTTTCAATCCCCATTTCATTTGTTCTTTGTAAGGCAATAGTGAACAAAGTATGCTGAGGTTCGGCATAAGCAGCCGCCTAGAACACAGATCCGGGATGGCAATTTCCAGTTCCCCCGCTGGAAGGTGTGGCATATTGGATTCAAAGCACTGGCGTGGCAGATTTTCAACTTGCAACCTGGCTAATTTCCTGCTTCTTCTGGCACCAAAAGGAGGGCGATTCGTCTCCTGTGCAGCCAAAGCGACAGCTGTCAAAGTCGCAGGGGCTCCTGTGAGCCAGAACCTAAAAGGTGAGAAATGTATATGACACTACTGTAAGCAGGGAAAAATGGCTTAATACGTTTAAATATTAGACATGTGCAATTAAACCAAATGGAAATGTTACCGGCCAAAAATAGAGATGGCTGCAGCTCAGTTGATTTTAACTTAAGCAGTGCATGCAAAAATATTTCTAAATAAAATGTTTATTTTCTGTGATTTAGCAAGGAAACCGTTGAATTTTTTTTTTTTTTCACGAAGTTGATTTCTTTTTGCATTAAGCAGGGGGATGTTGTGACGTTCAGGTTATTTTCTAATCATTCAATTTTACAGCATCAGTAGAGGGGATTTTTTTTCCCAGCACGAGGGAAAAAAAGTGATATCCCCAAACATTTTTAAAATACTAATTCGCAGCATTAATTCATTAGCTTAAATTTAATTTGCAATTGACGAAATTTAGATATTATTTATTTTTTTCTATTTCCTTAAAAAAAAAAAAAAAAAAACAACAACAAACAGCACAATGTCTCCTAGCTTCTCTGCCGTGTCCGTGAGGAAGGTTATTTCTAGACGGGGGGAGTGGGGGGGGGGGAACAAACGCGATGTCAGATTTTCTTTATCAGATCAAGCGCTGCCTGCATAAATCCCTTGCCCCGCCGTGGGTCCTTTGCCGGCGGTTCGCGGCGTGGGCAGCTTGAGCGCCTCGGGTGCGCGGAGCGGGCTTCGCGGCGGCTAAACCCATTTTAGCGCCGGAGACGGAGCTTCCCCCCCCTTTCTCTCCTTGTTGTGACTGTTACGGTGCGGCGCTGGGGCGGGGGAGCGGCGGCCGGCGGGCCGGTGCCCCGCGGTGTGTGCCGGCGGGGGGCAGCGAGGGCCCGGGGACGGCGCCCCCGGGACCCCCCTCCGCTGCCGCTCGGCTCCGCTCCCGCCTCCTCACGGCGAAAGAGCCGCTCGGAAGGCTTTACACGGCGGCCCCGGCTCTGCCGGTGCCGCCGGGCTGATAAAGCACTGCATTTGCATTGCATTGCGGTATCCGCCGGACTGGAGCTGCAGTGAGCGCCGGATTATTTATTGCGGGTCGCGGGTGCTCAGTGCTGCCACGGCGTGGCGGGATGGCGGAGGCGGGCGCGGAGCGCAGCGGCCCCCGCAGTCCCTGGAAGAGCAGCGCTGGCAGCCTGCGCTGCTCGGGGGAGCCCAAATAAAAGACCAAGAGGAAAAAAATAAATATAATGCGGCCTACTTTTTTTTTTTTTCTGTGGGAGTATCGGAGCTCGGCCCCGGGCAAAATATTCCGGCAGGACCGGCTCTGCCCACTCCCCTTCCCCTTCGATTCTACCTCGGTGTGTGTCAACTGCAAGTTACCACGGTGGGAGCCGGCTGGGGAGGACCCGCTCGCATCCCCCCAGCCAGGCTCTCTGTACCCCGCCAGTCTAAACAACGGTCCGCCTTGCCCAAACTGTTTGGATTAGGAGCTATTAGTTAAAGGTTGGTTTTGATGACGCTTGTGAGCACGAGAATGATTTGAAAGTGGTTTTATATACGAAGAGAAGGAGGCTTTTAAGCTTAAGAGGATAACTACTCCCGCACCTGTATCCGAAAGTGTCTGGGGTCGCGGACACGTTTTCGGCGGGAGCAGGAAGGCGAAATGTTCTGTAGAGGAGGTGCTGGGTGCGTGGAATTAGGAAAACAAATAAACGGGGTATGAAATACACAGGTATCGCGAAGTGTGACTGTTGCGGTGGCAAAATGCAGCGACTGGCTTTCTTTCTGCTTTTCAGAGTGGGGGCGCGAACGGTGAAGGAAAACTGCTGTGAAATGTGTCCAGATAGGACATTTCCTCGGCAGTCTTGGGGGGCAGCAGATTGTTGTGATTCGGGGTTTTCTGGGGTAGGGGGAGGAGCGGAAAGGACGCCTGAATGTGACTGAAGCAGAGATTGCGGTGCAGATTGCTTGGCTGTCACTGTAACTACTCGAACACGACCCAGTCAGGCAAACGTTCAGATTTCATTCCTTTTCGTACTATGGGATCGGCAAATAAATATTTTCGCTGCCTGCGGTCAGGCTTTCACAACTTGGTTTGGACACAAACAGTAACTTGAAAAACGAGAAAGAAACAAGAAGAAATGAAGGGGGGTGGGGGTGGGGTGGGGGGAAATTAGACTGTAACCCATGCTACGAAATGTAAATATAACTAAGCCTGGAGCAATTTTTATTTTAAATTTTATTTTGGTTTTTGTGTGATGGATTCAAACAAAAGATCGTCTGCCCACAACTTTTTGGAAGTAAGGCCAGTGGGGTAGGTTTGTCCCGAGTATCCTTTCTTTCGTGGTGCGTTTTCGTTCTGACTTAAACTGGCGAAAATATGCTTTTAAAAGCCTTTTCGCATTTAGTATGCTGTGTATGAGTGCTTGCTTGCTGGTATTTCCTCCTTTTAAAACTCTGCTCTCACCGAGTAGAAAAACCCCCTATTTTCCCGGAGAAATCTGCTTTTCAGGAAATACATGTTTCTGAAATGACCTCTCAAAGCATGCAGTTAGTGAGCTGTAATTCTACCAGGTGTGTTTGTTGATTAGCTGGGCTGAAGAGGTTAAGGAAGTTGAAAAAAAACCCGAAGGCAATCAACATCTGAATGTGAAAGTCCAGCTGAGACTGCAAACAATACAAACTATTGTGGAGCGATGTTTTAACTCACTACTGTTTTATAGGTATCGTAATCTGCCCCCGGAAATGAGACAAATAGTCTCCCAACAACAACAAAACTCTCCTTTGAAAGCTGCTTTAGGAAACGGTGCTCGTACGAATGTCACTTTACGTGACAGAGCGCGTTTAAAATTAGTCTATTCAATCTGTTGTAATGGGCACGGATTATGAGTAAACACATATTGGAATGGACAACCTTATGTTATCTGCAGGAACTGCAGGGTTACGGCTGAATTAAACCCGCATCAGCGAATTTCATCAGAACAGTTACTGTCCGAGCCCTGGGCCAAGAATTATATTTCCGCTATGGGGTAACTGCCATATTGAAAAATGAAGGTGGAAATGTTTGTTTCGTGTATTGTTCTTCCCCTCTTAAAGACACAAATCCACGTTTAATCAAATTATTCGGAGCAACAACGAAACCGATTGGCTTCTGCTGACTCATTAGAGGGGTTGTATTAATTAGGAATAGTCCTACTGGCTCGTTTTTGAATTTGAATGTTTGATTCTCTCGGATCTACTCTGGCGGGAGGAGGGTAGTCTTGAGAAGAGACACATGGAACTTCATCTGAGCTGCCGGGGGGCGCCGGGAGCCCATGCGGCTCTTCCCGAGGCCTCCTCGGGCACTTGGTGCAAATCAAAAACCCCACTCTCCAGAAGGCCACCGCCTCAACCTCCTAATTATGGGCATGTTCATTAAGATACGAAACCTCTTCCATTGCAGAACGCGTTAGGCTCTCCCACAAAAGCTGGATTCGGCGCTGGGGCGGGCTCCCTGAGCTCCGAAGGGAAGCCTTAGAGGAAGGGCAATTTTCGGCTGAATGGATAAATAGATACGTTTTAGAATAGCTTAAAAATCCTTGGGTGCAGTTGAGGCATCGCGAGGGCAAAATAGAGAGAGGCCGCCCCCCGCCCTCGCCCCCCACGCTGCGCGGCGCTCCGCTCCCCCTTTCACGTGCTCCCTCCGCTCCAAAGTTTCCCTTCGCAGCATCCTCCACTGCCGTCTCCTTCCCTCCCTCCTCCTTCCCTCCGCCGGAGCGCCGGGGGCGGTTCGCCCACTCTTCCCACGGGGTTGCGCGACTCCCTTGTCGTGGGGCCTCCAACTTTTAAGGGCGCCCCCCTCCACACACCTCCAGCAGCCCCGTTACCCGCTCCCGCACCGCCCGCGCTGCCGGGAATTACCGCTGCTACTGTTGTTATTATTATTGGATTATTTTCCCGCGCAGGGGCGGTGCCGCGGCGGGGGCGCGGCCGGTCCCGCGGGCTGCGCGGCGCGGTGCGGGGGGCGCGGGGCGGCGCGGCGGGGCCGGGGCTGCCGGTAAGTTGGCGGCGCGGTGGCGGCGGCCCCGGGGGAGCGGGCGCCGCGCGCTCTCCCATTGGCCGCCCCGCCGTCAGCTGCTCCTATTTTCTGCTGTCGCTTTTGGCGCTCGGCCATCCAGAAACAAACCACTTCGATGACTCCTAATAGTTATCGCCAGATGTACTAATACACAACAAATCACGGTCCGGGAGAGGGGGAGAGCAAATGAGTTCCTATTTTGTGAATCCCACTTTCCCGGGGAGCCTGCCCGGAGGCCAGGACTCCTTCCTCGGGCAGATCCCCCTGTACCCGGCGGGCTATGATGCTCTCAGGCATTTTCCGGCTTCGTACGGGGCAAGCAGCCTGCAGGACAAGACTTACACCTCACCTTGTTTCTACCAACAGTCCAACACCGTCATTGCTTGCAGTCGGGCTTCCTATGAGTACGGAGCCTCTTGTTTTTATTCGGACAAGGACATTAGTAGCGCCTCTCCTTCCGGCAGTGGCAAACAGAGGGGGCCCGGGGACTACCTGCACTTTTCTCCCGATCAACAGTACAAAACCAGCGGCGGCCAAGCCAAAATTATAAATGACGAAGGCACCGACCGGAAGTACACGAGCCCTGTTTACCCCTGGATGCAGCGGATGAACTCCTGCGCTGGTATTTTTTTTCGGTGTTTTTTTTTTCGGTTTTTTTTTTAAATTTTTTTTTTTTTTTTTTTTTTTTTTTTT